ACAATTGAGTAATTTTACGAGAATTTTGTAATGCTGCCCCCGATTCTGTTTTCAGTGAGTGTGATTTATCTATTTGATGGAATCATAAAAACCATTTGCATCAAAATGAATAGAAAAAATATTGGCGATGCCGTTGCCAGGATTCGAACCTGTGTTACCACGGCCACAACGTGGGGTCCTAACCACTAGACGATTTATATTAGAAATAATTGTCCATTGATTGTTCAATACGAATTTTGTGGTCATTGTTAGGACCCCGAAGACATGTTGTTAATTACTTTATACACGACCTTTTATTATAACATTATACCACAGGAAGCTGAAATGGGGATGGCCGTAGACAAAAGTAAGAAGCAATTAAAAATAAAGAGATAATTTAAGTCCACTACTAACACGCCCGGTGATCGTGAATATGGGACGGAGGGGGGAGCAGGCAATTTCTGCTAGGAAATTCAACAAATCTGGAAGATTTATTTTTTCAAGAAAAAGTTTACTATTGAATTGCTAAATGGATAGGCGCACGGTATGGTAGAATATGTTAGGTTTTCTGGGATTTTTTCTAAAACGATACGCATCTAAGGTATGAGATCTATTAAAAAAGGCGCAAGGCCATCAACAGGCACAAATCAACGTTTTTGCTATAAATTAAGCAACAATGGACTACACGACCTGTAATAAATACTTGTAAGTGATGTTATCATAACTAAATTAATGTCATTGCTGAATTCATAAAATAAGTTTCCATACGTAAAATAAAAAATAATCGAAAATAATTAAAATGGGACGGAGGGGGGGGAGGGGACGGAGGGGGGGGGGAGTAATAATTCTATAAAGTGAAACAACTTCACACGAATTCTTGTATTTGAAAAATGAACTCATTAACTTAGTAAGAAACTGGATGATATACCCCTGGAGACTGAAAAATGGGGACATTTGGAGTAAAAGGACTTAAAGTCGCGAAACATCTCTCATCATGTCTTATATACATATTGCTCCCCCCCCTCCGTCCCAAATTCATTATTTTCGATTATTTTTTATTTCACATATGGAAACTTATTTTATAAATTCAGCAATGACATTAATTTAGTTATGATAACATCACTTACAAGTATTTATTACAGGTCGTCCAGACCATTGTTGCTTGATTTATAGCAAAAACGTTGATTTGTGCCTGTTGATGGCATTGCGCCTTTTTTAATAGATCTCATACCTTAGATGCGTATCGTTTCAGAAAAAATCCCCAAAAACCTAACATATTCTACCATACCGTGCGCCTATCCATTTAGCAATTCAATAGTAAACATTTTCTTGAAAAAATAAATCTTCCAGATTTGTTGAATTTCCTAGCAGAAATTGCCTGCTCCCCCCCCCCCCCTCCGTCCCATATTCACGATCACCGGGCGTGAATAACAGCAGTATACAGTTCCGTTATAATATAATCTCAATGTACCTTTTTAGTAGAACCTTGAAAATCTTAAGTCACTTTCGAATTTGTAAATGTTCCCTTAACTCCTTGAAAAGAAGACGAATTATAAAGGCTTTAGTCTTACCGTTGCCCAGTTTTCATTCCCGATGCCGCAGAAACCATAGTCACGTCCGCAGCCAATTTAACATTTTGTCTTCTTTGTCTCTTTTGCTGGGGGAAATATAAACCGTTCGCATTGGGTAATTTAAGAAATGTGTTTTGAGCTGGCCTTCGTGGTGGAACTTGTGAAGTCGCATTCACCATGAAAAACCCCGAATTAGATGTATTCAATTGAGGCAGTTTTAAAGTTGATTCGTTATTTCCTGCTACAGACACCATTTTGCAATATATTGATAAGTTTTGTATATAGTTTTGTTCTCAATTGATATCTGAATTATTCGCTCCTTATAGTATTACATCTGGTTTAATATTGTGTAATTAGTTTTATATCATTGCATCCACAGTCCTTCTCCAACTTTATGGAAAGCGATCAACAATTTGCACTCGTTGAAGTTGTGCATTATGCAAATACAGCAAGGATACCTAAATCTTGAACCACAATAATTCAACTTTTCCCAATAATATATGTTTAGGGATATTTATTATTTTGCTTTCACTATTGTAATCTGGTAATCCGTCTTTAATGTTTGCAATCCATGATTACTTATATCCAAATTAAGTCCGTGACATTGTCCATGCCCCAATCGAAGCATATTTAACTACTGTTGATCCTTTTAGAATCATATCGGTTTTTGAACATATTTTATTTGGTCCTGAGAAAAGATAGTTGGCTTAGCATGGTGTTATTCCCTGTCTACGAGTTCATTAAGTTTGAGCAATTTCTTCTCAATTGCTACATTTTTCTCGGAGCAAAGCGTCGATTTCCTGTACATGAATGAATTATTTCCGGCCAACATGGACAGTGTTTGAACGCTATACGATTATGTCCGTTTTCCCCCTTTGATATTGTGATAGTCGGTCCAATGTATAAGTTCGTAGTGATTATATCTCTAGCCTTGGACATGCATTCAGTACGGAGTGTTTTCTCCATTGGAGACGAAAAAGTTCAAACATAAAAAACAAAACATGCAACTGCATCAAAAGAAACAGGCTTTCTGTCGATCAGGTCAAATATTGACTATTCTACAAAAGTTTTGACTAAAATGAATAGCGTGCAAATATCCCTTCTACAAGTAAGATTCTTTTTAGTTTATTGACATTTTGCTTTCTCTTTTACCTTTTATAGGCTTGAGTCAATGATCTCGATAACGAGCCTTATTAAATGACTTATTATCCTTCACCTCTTGTCCGGATATCGAACTGTTTGCTCAAGTGTCAAAATTATCCGTAACTTAAAATTAATTTTTCACAATTATTGTTTAGAAAGGGCTTCTCGTGGCTTGAAGTCATCACTGGTGATCCACTCGATTACGCTGGTTACCAAAACGGTTCGTTTTGGTAACAAAATGTCGGAACGTCGAAGGTACGATTTTTCTTTGTTCCTTATTTCACGCGTTGTAGGCAGAATCCCCACGACGTTTTTTCTCACAAACGTATATCAGTATCATATGTTTTAGAAAATGTTCATGTTTGCGAAAAAATAGCTCAGAAGCTAACAGAATCGTCGATTTAATTCCTCACTTAAGTTACATAAACGGTTTTGGTTAAAAGTGCAGATCTTAACTGTTTTTCGAAAAACCGTTTATGTAACTTAAGTGAAGAATTAAATCGACGATTCTGTTGTCTTCTGAACTATTTGTTCGCACATAATTATGTACATTTTCTTAAACATATGATACTGATACACGTTTGTGTTAAAAATGTCGTGGGAATCCTGCCTACAACGTGTGGAATAATAAGGAAAAGAGAAAAATCGTACCTTCGACGTTCCGACATTTTGTTACCAAAACGAACCGTTTCGGTAACCAGCGTAATCGAGTGGATCACCAGTGAGTCATGAGGATTGCCACATGTTTGGTTCTTGTATTCTTTATGTTTATAGGTAATATATGATGTCACGATCACCCCAATGTAACAAGTCAGACAACCGCGATATGATTATAAAGGTAGCATTATAAAGAACCCAAACAAAAGGTGAACTGTTATTGACTAATACGTGCAGAAAAACCTTTTTTTGTCCAAATTCCATGAGTAAATGTCAAAAGCTGTTATTCACGAGGCGCTAGGATTTTTCTAATACAATCGGTATATACTTAAAAGCATCATGTGCTGTAGTAGTTCTCAATACTTGCATACCTTTTGACATACTAACGAAATTTTGACTTTTTGATGTAAAAATCGCATTCTTTAAAAGCTGAGTAAATTCGAGGTATTGCAATTAGAAGAAAAATAACTGTTATGGATAAACGTGATAAATGTTTCGAGAAGCCAAAACGAAATGTTTTTTTGAAACAATTTTCAAGCACAACCTCCAATTGACTCAGTACATGTGAAAAGCTCCCTGAAAATGACGAAGATAATCCTCGCACTTCTTTCAAAACTGATTCGTTGACTAAAAAACCATCAATGCATAAAAATCTGAATGAAGGAGTTCAAAGAAGCAGAATCAATACCAATCAGGTAGTCAAATATCTTATCAAGACAAAAGGTTTTCTTCAAATAGTACAATCCGCAATCAATAATGTTTTAATAAGATGACTCAAGTATCTAGCCAGTCTTTAACATTGAACATACACCGCGTGGGTCTCTAGATCTCTCTTCTGGGGGGGGGGGGTCGAACGAAGGGGTCAGGCACGGTTCCCTTGTACGTAGGATCATTGCGTGTGACGTTCGTTTATTTGCACAGCTTAAATATTTCTTTTTTTCTAACTGTGGCCATGGTTTAAACATTTTTGTCTTTCCTTTTGGCAGGTGCATAATATACACATTTATGGGGTTCTAACGATTTATTTTTCATTTTTCATTACGGATCAGTCAAGGAAGACTGGAAATTACGGTTCGTATTGTTTCCATTTGGTTCATATGATTTGTATCATTTTCTGTTGCGCTCAGTGATCAAATCTTTGTTACAAAGATTACGTTTAGATTGCTCCGGTGGTCTATAGTTCCACATTCCGTTACGGAATCTATGACAAATGTATACATTGATGACACGGGGAGGGGGTCAGTATTTATGTATATGTGCTTTAAGGAGATGCGGGTTTTTATCATTTGGTTTCTCTAGTCGAGTATATTATTAAAACCTGAACCTCTATCCCCTCCCTCAAAAAACTTTTTTCCAAATCAAGATGGAGTTTTCCCAGTTGGTCTGGTCGAAAAGTGAAACACCCTAATGTATACCCGTTGCAATTCCTACAACTACAATCGGGGTTTGAAATTGCGGAGCATTTATCTCATATGGCTACTTTAAGAATTGCTATCACAACTGGTATATGGTGGTTGTCCTGGTCTTTTTCTTTAGGATACGACCACGCATAATATTTACAAATTGTTTATATAACACGCATGTACCAGAAACAAATGCTCTTGGAGTTCTCTATCGCATTCTCAAAATTATTTCAAAAGTGGATCTTACCTTTTACGACGTGTCCTTCCTGCAAAATGCTTAGACTTTTTAATTGTTGGTAAACTAAAGTCTTGTGTTTTTCGTTGCAATTGTGTTTTTGTTTTGGCATTTGAGTAATCCCTGTTGCTATAGTGTCTCAGTATGTATCCTAATGAAGTCATCTCTCCTTATTGTATGTTCCTCTTAAAGGACTTTTATAAACATAAACATTTATATTGCGTAAAAGAGGATTATCGGTGTCAATTTCATAAATCAGGAAACTGTTCAATTTTTCTAGGTTCTTTTCTTCATCCTAGAATTTTTAAGAACTGCCGTCCATATTGCTTTAATAGCTATCGCTCCTAATTTCTATTATAACGCTATATTATCTTTCACCTCCTCAATCCCAATACCAGTGTTACCTAATACCATGTTTTTCCATTGTAAAAACAGGTGCTTTCGATAAGCTCTGTGAAAGCAATTTAAGATCCAATCGAATAAAGTCTATTAATCTCTACGAGTTATAGGGGTGAACTTTGATTAATTCTATAACATGGCAACCGATCCAATATGGTGGACAAAATCTAGCGATTACTTGTCTCTCTATTGTTATATTTGTTTATTTGAGGTTCATTTGCTATAAATGTGAAAGTCAGTGCTTGTATGGAAACTATCTCCATGGTATTTACGACGCGTCATAATGTTTTTCGAATACCAGTGCCAGCCAATAGGTCTTAAAGTATAACTCCTTTTTTGCTATGTTCATTAACACATACTGTATATTTCCTTATATTTAGTTCGTATATTTTTGGATTTCCTTACAGTAACGATGGTAAGACGTCTAAATCATTTTTTCATTCGTCTAACATAATATCACAGGCTGGTATCAAAGATTTGTCCGCTGTGACGGAGCATGTTATTTTTCATAAAAACACTAAGAAAACCACACAATTTATTTTTAACTCATGTTTCGTTATACCAACGAAAATTACTTACTCCATGCAATGGATATATTATTTGCGGGTAACTTCATGATCAACGTTTGAAGTCCAATAACGCTGGGAGTAAAAGCTATTGAAAATGGCGCCGGAGTATCATAGTCCAAATTGTACAATTTCTTGTTCAATAAGTTTTTAATGGCACGATATAGTGTCACGATAATATTTACATATGTTTTCAGCATAACTATGAAGGTATCAATGAGATGATGATGTATTGGGTCTTTTTAATTCTTTTATTGAAAACAATGTTTAAATTTTTGTCCGCTGTGACGGAGCAGTTGCAAATGTGAACTGTGAAACTGCTCCGTCACAGCGGACAAAAAATGTAAACATTATATTTTAAAAAAAGATTAACAAGACCCAATACATCCATATCTCATTAATACATTCAGAGTTATGCTGAAAACATACGGTAATATTATCGTGTACACTCCCCTCCATAAGTTTGGCAACCTTTGCTTCCCCATTGAACTACGTGTTAAAGCCTCTTCACCTTTGGATTTTTATTTAGTTAACCTGGGATGAAAATACATATTCTATTGATTGTAACGTAATTTGACTTCATTTCCAATACCTCCAAAATTTCTCAATTTTTTCCTCAATTACAATAGGTCGAAAATCGATGATTTTGATAGATTTTTGAAAAAGTCATATTACGTTTCCATTACTAGTAAAAGTATCTTCACCACAGATTAAGTAAATAAAAAATTCAAAGGTAAAAAGGCTTTAACACGTAGTTCAATGGGGGTTCAAAGGTTGCCAAACTTATGGAAGGGAGTGTAACTAGATCATGCCATTTAATATTAAAAAATAAATGGTACACTTTAGAGTTTGATGCTCTGGCGCCGTTTTCAATAGGTTTTACTCCTAGCGTTATTGGACTTAAAACAGAAGTGAAGGTTACCCCCAAACGATATATCCATTGCATGGAGTAAGTTATTTTCTTTGATATAACGGAACATATGAGATAAAAAATAAATCGTGAAGTATTTTTAAAGTTTTATGAAAAATAGCATGCTCCGTCACAGCGGACAAATCTTCCGATACCAGCCTGTGAATATATATATTGCTGAGAATTTAGTTCGTATGTTTTTAAATCACCCATACCTTGTAGCAACGATGGTAATAAAATCTCATATACATTTACTCCGCATTTACTTCATTTTAACTCCATATTAGTCGTACTCCGATAAAATGATACTTTCTTTGGTACAATTTCAATCAAACATACAACTTTCAATGCCACCTGCATACATATAAGTATCACGGTCTCTTTGGAGAACCGTGTTTTATCGCCAAATTAACCGAGTTGGGAAATAAACATTACGTGTAAGTTGATCGAACAACATTTAGATACTGAATAACCAAATAAATATTTGCATCGTCTAACAAAGATAAATTTTCGTTTCGGATTTGAAAAATAAAAGCAAACTTTATTTACCGATTAGAAACCGAATAAATACAGCTCGAGTTAATGCAAATTTTCCAAACACAAGGGCATTAGGAACATATATTTAAATGCGACAGCCCTTTTCAATCCAACGTTAAAATAGTCATTCAGTGACAACCTTCTTGAAAAATTATGTAAACGCAATTGTATAAATTGAAACTCAAAGAATTTGTATTTATTCGACGACCCTAGCGACAACGAATTTAGATGGTTTATTATTCAAAAGAGCTAAGTGGCAAAATGTGACCTTGAAATTGACCTTGACATTACGAGAATTGAAATCTATTTATACATATTCTTTAGAGAAAATTAGAAAGCCAACGCACAAATTCCTCAATATATAGGCCCCTTCTCAACCGACTCCTGCAAACAATCGAATTTTATTTCAAAGGTCTTGTCTCGGTTTCTATTCTTCCAATCTCAAAATGGTTTTGATTTTGACCAAATAACAAATACAGATATACGTACTTGTTAGACAGGGAAACAAATAACAATTTACTGAATTTCTGCATTTTGTAAACAATGCAAAGTATATGCATACTTCGGTCGGTTGTTCCTTACATCTGACCATGGGCTTTCAAGATCTGTTGAAAATCCATGATCTGACAATATTAAATACTGATAATAATGAAGAGGGAAAAAATATTTAGGTTAGGTATGATGTCATGCTCATATGAGTTTTGAACCAGTTACACTTAACCCATGGTCTTGGTGCACCATTGGCCAAAGGGCAGACGTTTTTCAATTGTGATGGTGAGCACGTGCGGATATGGTATTAAAATGTTAAAGATATGCTATACAGATATGTAGGTCAGTATTACATAATCGTTAAATGAATAAGTCTGAATATATCATTGGTCAGAAAACACTAAAACCTGCTTGAAACTGTAAAAGTTTATACACTCTATTCCACACTGTATAGAAATAAAATAACTTGCACTATAAGTAACTGTGAGCCAATCATTGCATAGGAAAAACTTTATGCACTGTTTATAAGATTCACTGAGACAAGTGGGTCAATACTTCGTGTACTTTATGTGCTCTCACACAATTACCTTCCCTTGCATAAAGTTGCTGTACAGTTATATGTAACTGAATATTGTATATTCATCACAAACAACCTTAGCAAAATGATGGTTCGACGAAATGGACGGTTCGCTAAAACCAATAAACCAGGCAATTCAGGCCAATTTGGAAAGAGACTAGATAGCGTGATAGCGAATGAGGATAGTAAGTGAAATATATTTTGCAAAGGTCAGGTTGTAAACTACTGGGTAACCCTAAATGATGAGAAATATGTACAAAATATGTTTTGCATGATTTATTCATATCCCAATGATTTAACTCCTTCCCTTAGGAAAAAAACAACCATTTTTTCCGAATTTCAACCGTTAAAATCCATTGTGCAACCATTACAAATCATTGCATAACCATTGCTGCAACCAATTGAAATGGTTTCCAACCATTACATTGCAACCATTAAAATTTGGTTGAAAACTTTGGTTGCATATCTTTGAAATTATGGAATCATTTGCAACCATTACAAACCATTGATTGTTTAAGTTGCATTTTACCAAATGGTTGCAACTATTTTCAACCATATTGTGGAAATTATTTAGTTTAAGAATGAGACAATTTGAAACATGAAGAACATACAAGTAAATTGAATGCATTATTATGTTTCAAAATACAGTAGTTCATGTTTATGGGCATATTATTTCTAATTAATTGAAGAGAATAAGGTTTATTCATTTTTGGCACTGGATATGACTTCAAGTTTATTCTCATAGGCATATTATTTCTATAAAGAATAAGGTTTATTCATTTTTGGTACTGAATATTACTTCAAGTTCATGTTCATAGAGATAGTATTTCTATTTTATTGAAGAGAGTATTCATTTCTGGCCCTGGTCATTCTTGTAGTTTCTTTGGAAATTCCTTCTTGATTCATTCAGTTTTACTGAACAATACATGTACAACAAAATGTTCTGTGGAAATTTTCTGTTTTTCTCCTGTCTCAACAAAAAAAAGTTTCTGACTAAAAGTACATACATACATATTATGAAACATCAAAGATTGTATTTCCTGCCTTTTATTTATGATTTGGATTAAGCTAGTGCCAAAATAACCTGCTTCTTCAATATCAAAGAAGTCTTATTACAACAATTAAGTAGATTAAACTGAAAATGTTTCCAAAACATGATTTTGAAACATCAACATCCTTGTATTTATGCTTTGGATTAGGCAAGAGCCGGATTGATTGTCTTTTCTTCAATATCATTTACAAATCAAAAAATATTAATTACTATTGGATTAAACTTTAATCATAATGACTGAAAGGGAAATATCTTAAACACTTGAATAGATGATATTTCCTTTTACTAGACATGGTTTTATGCCTATGAGCATGAACTTGAAGTTGGATATATCTCAAAATTGTATTATGAACTTAAGTTAACTATCGCTAGAAAAAAGAGAATTCATCAAGACCATAGCTGGCTTCAAAAATCTTAATGTGAATCTCATCTAATTTACTATGATTGTGTCATTATTATGGTAGGGGGAATTCAAAAATAAATTATTCAGACAAAAATAACTTTTAAAAAAAGAATTAATTTGTAATGATTTTGTTAAACTATCAAAACAGAACTTTATCTAATTGGCTGTTCAAGGGTTATAATTAGCATTTCAATGGTTATAATTAGCTTTTCAATGGTTATAATTAGCATTT